TCCTCCATGGTCTTGTTGACCAGCGTGTTGATGCTGGACACAAAGAAGTTGACGGCGCCCAGCAGCGTCTCCCCGTTCTTGCACAGCAGCTTCTGCGTCTCCGCGTTGTACCCAAACTCCTCCTGGGGACACAGGGATGGGGGCACAGGTGAGTGGCCATGGATCACATCCCCACTCCCCTCCATCAAGGGTGCTGGGGGAAAAGCCCCCTGAGACCACCGAGGCCAACCATGAGGCAGCACCACCAAGCCCAGCACCAGCACTACATCCACTCTTGTGCAGATCGTGTTCCCGCCCTGGTCCAAGTGTGACTCCCCAGGTCCTGACCCCCACAACCCCAGTGTCAAGCCCCAGCTACCCCTGCCCTCCCAGCCTTTATGTCCAGGTGTCCCCTCCAAGTCCTGGCGCTCCCCGTCCTCCCCCAGCCCTGGTGCCCAGGTGTCCCTGCCCTCACCCCAGTGTCCCCCTAGCCCTGGCACACCTGGAGCTCAGGGGATTTCTGGCTGAGGTCGGCGAAGGCGTCGCCCAGGGCGTGCTGGGTCTGTACGAGGCTGTAGAGGTGGGCCGTGAGCGCCCGTGCCAGGTGCAGGACGCTCTCGTACTTGCGCTTGGTCTCCCGCAGCAGCTCGATCTGGGTCTCCAGCTCCAGGTCCACCGTGCGCGACCCCCGGCCGAAGCGCTCCGAGAGCAGCTGCTTGGTGCACTGCAGCAGGGCACAACGGGGGCCCCACGGCATGTGTCAGTCCCCCAAACCCCTCCCAGAGCAGCTGCTTTGGGACGGGGGCAGGAAGGCCGCTCACCCCTCACCTTGTAGGTGTTGATCCCCCACTTCTTGACAATGTCAAACTTCTCAACGGCAATGCCTCGCACGACCTCCTCTCCACCGGCTGGGGGTCCGGGGGGTGGTGGGTGCAGCCCGGGGCCTGGCACAGGGACAGGGATAGGAACCTGGCACCAGCTCCAGGAGAGCAGCAGCCATGGGGACTGGGCAGCCCCAGGCTCCAGAGCCGTTGTCCTGGAGCTGCTGTTTCCACAGCAGCATGCTCAGCTCTGGGCATATGCCCAGCACTGGCTCAGACAGAACCTGGTGAGGACCCTGCTCCTGCCCAGCCCCTCTGAGGGTCCCACACAGGGGCACAGACCCCAGCCCAGCCATATCTGCTTGCACCAAGCCCTGCTCCATCCTGCTGACTACCCCCACCAGGCTGGACACAGGGGGAACACTGCCCAGCAGCACTGGGAGTCCCTCAGGTGGGCTCAGGGGCAGAGTGAGCCCCCCTGGCCAGGACCCACCTCTGAGCCCCCGGGCGCATCAGCGCTGTCCTCTGTCCCAGCACAAGGATCAGCACCAGCACCAGGCTCTGGCCACGACACAGCCGCCACGGGGGCTCTTACCAATGTCCCCCGGGAGGCCCGGGGCCCCCAGACCCACGGGACGCCCGGGGTGGAGCGAGGGGCGCAGTACCTGCGGGAGGCGCGGCCGGGCGGGCCATCCTACGGGCAGCGGGCGCGCTGGGGGGCACCGATGGTCCTCGGGGGGGGTGAGGATGGACAAGAGAGCCTGGAAATGGGGGGGCTGCGGGGGCCGAGCAGGGTGGGGCAGGACAGGACGGGGGCACAGGGCACGGGACAGTGGGATAGCCAAGGCAAAGGGGACGGGGGCAAGGGACAGGGACGAGTGCGCGGGCGGGCGGCAGCGGGAGAGCGACGGCAGCAGGTGAGCGTTGGAACCCAGAGACATGGCTGCAGCCACACAGAGCGACTCCCCCAGCCCAGGAACCCCCCAGCTCCGGCCCCTGTGCAGGAATGCACCCCGAGGGCTGGGCAGGCCTGGTGTCGTGGGGACGCCGGGACACAGAGACACAAGGCCAGCAGCGGCAGTGCTCCAGGGAAGCACACACGCGTGCACTCGTCCTCCCTGCCCACACGGACCTTCCTCCAGCCCTGGGGGAACCCTCAGGGAGAGGTCTGCATGGAACAAGGACGGTGGTGCCAGGTCCCTCAGGGTGTGGACCAGTCTGACTGGGACAGCAAGGAGTCAGTGGGGTGTGGGCCCCCTGCCTGCCCCCTCATCCCCAGCACACTCCAGAGCCCCCGCTGCACGGGGACCAGGACAGACCTGGGATCCTCCAGCAGAGCAGAGACTCAGAATCCCACGGGGACAGAAATTCCCAGCAGAGACCCCACCCTGTGACAGGGGAGCAACCCAGCCCAGGGAGAGCAGAGCTGGGGCAGCAGCCCCTCCTCTGCCTCAGTACACACCCCACACGCTGCCCCTGCACAGGCCCCGAGCCCACCCAGGAGACACCTCGGCTAGGCCACGGCACAGCCTTGTGTCATAAATCAGGGCACTGAGGGGAGCTGACCCCTCTGCCCCACGATGATCCCATTCCCTGCCCAGCCAGCCCCGCTACCTTTGATGGTGCCCGTGGGGATGATGCCCTCGGCTGTGCCCCCATAGCCGCCCGACACGATGCTGGTCTCGTTCAGGTTGGGTCCCGACACCATCACCTGCTGCAGGTCCTGGGGGGCACAGGAGCACAGGGGGCTGAGATGCAGAGACAGCACAGCCCTGGTTCAGCCCCAAACACCCCCCGGGCTTCCCGACCCCGGACCTGCTCCAGGCCATCATCCTCGGGCAGGCTGCTGGTGTCCCCGTTGCTGCTGATGGGGATCTCCATGGTGGCTGCCTTGCTCAGGATCCCGTCCGACATCCTCAGGGCCTGCAGGGACACAGCCGTGCTGCTGGGGCCAGGACCACCCGGCAGTACCGCGAGGCCGGGGGCTGCAGCCTGGAGGGAGGGCCCACGTCGGCGCTGCTGGCGCTGAGCAGACGCTGCCCCCGGTGCAGAGCCGCCTGCAGCCCCTGCCCAGCCCGGCTCGGCGCCCTCGGACACCCCCGGTGCCCAGAACGGACCCGCAGGGTGGCACATGCCAGAGGCGCCGACCCCACCGTGGCTCCTGCACCATCCCGCCCAGGACTCGCGGGCTCCCCCGCCCCCGGGCCGCACTCCGTGCTCCCTCTCACAAACCCCGCCGGGGATCCCCGCCGACCGTGCTCCGGGACAGCGGCGCTGGCGGCGCCCAGCACGGCCCCGGCCGGGAGGGCGCCGGGAGCCACGTCCGCAGGAGAGCGGGGGGGCCCCGCTGCGCCCGGACCGGTCCGGGCACATTCCACAGCAGGCGGGGCCCGGGGCGGGCTCCGAGAAGCCGCTACCCGTGACCGGTCCCCTCCCGGCGGGACAGGGCCCGGCCAGCGCCAGGGCCGAGCCCTGCGGGCAGAGGCCGTCACCGCCCAGCGCCATCCTCGCCGGAGAGCGGCCCCGCAGCCCCACAGCCTCCGGGGCGGGACGGGGGCAGTGTCGGAACGGAGCCCTCCGCAGCCACGCACGGCAGGGCCCCGGGTCGGGACCGACCTCCGCGGGAACCCCCGGTGGCCGCTCCTGCCGGAACCGGCCCGAGCGGGCGGCGGCGGCCCCAGCCCCGCTCCCGGGGCTCTCCCAGCCAGGCCCCACCGGCCCCGCGGCCGCTCACCCTGCGCGGCCTCCCCGGCCCCACCTGCGCCCCGGCCCCGCCGGGCCCCCCCGCGCCGCTCCCGCTCCGCCTCGGCCCGGACGCGCCGAAAGTGGCGTCAAGGGCCCGGAAGTGGCGTCATCGCTGAGCCGGACGGAAGTGGCGTCGCTGGGAGTTCGGCGGGTGGTCCCGCGGGCGCGGAGGGAGCGGGCCCGGCCCGGCCCGGCATGGACCCGGCGGCCGAGCACCGGCAGCAGCTCCGCAGCGTGAGCGCCTGGGCCGGGGGCGGGCAGCGGCGTGTCCCGCGAGGCCTTCATGGGGCGTCCCGGCGTGTCCCGGGGGCTCCGGCCGTGGGACCTCGAGGTGCCGGGTTCGCCGGAGAAGCGGTGGGGTCCTGGAAGGGACCCGGGCTGGCCGGGCGGCACGCCGGGAGTCGCGGTGGGTTTCGGGGGTCGCGGACCGGCTCCGCCCGGTGTGACCCGCGCCGCCTGTTCCCCAGCTGCGGGACTTCCTGCTGGTCTACAACCGCATGACCGAGCTCTGCTTCCGCCACTGCGTCTGCAACCTCAACTACCGGCTGCTCACGGGCCGCGAGGTGAGCGGGGCACGCGGCCCGCAGGCCGGGGCCCGCAGGCCGGGCGGCCCCTGACCCCCTGTCCCCCGCAGGAGTCGTGCCTGGACAGCTGCGCCGCCAGGCTGGTCCGCGCCAACCACCGCCTGATGGGCGCCTACGTGGGGCTGGTGCCGGCGCTGCTGCAGCGCCGCGCGGCCGAGCACGGGGCCCCAGCGGGGCCGTCCGGACTGCCGGCCTCCCCTGAGCCGGCCCCGGGCCCCGCGGAGCCCTCGGAAGGCGCTCCCGCCGCCGGCACGTAGCAGCAGCTGGCCGCAGCTCCCCGCGGCCGTCGGACGCCACTGGCAGCAGCCCGGCCCCGTGCCAGCCGGAGCAGCTGCATCCCTGCTGCCCGGAGCCCCGGGCTGGAGCAGCATCTGCACCGGGCCCCGGGAGCCCCGAGCAGCGGCTGGGCTGCGCCGGGCACCAGGGCTGGGGGCACAGGAACGGGGGAAGGCCCCCCGAGCCCTCCTGGTTGTGGATTTCTGGGAAGTGGATTGTGAGTACCAATAAAACATCTCCACAGTAACGGCTTAGTGTGACACGTGGGGAGGGAACCAGAACCCTGGCCTCTGTTCCCTGCTGAGAGACCGTGGCACAACTGGGAATCCAGGGAATTGCGCTTAAATGTGAGACAAACGTCTCCCTTTAGGAGCCCTGTGAGCACCGGGGCACTGTGGGGCCCTGAACATTCTCACTCCAGCTGGCTGGCACAGAGCAGGCACTCAGACAGGGCAGTGCCCCCCAGCTAAGGGCGTGTGTGTGCGTGGTCCTTGGGAGAGCCTGGCCTCTTCTCTCCCTGCTGCAGCCCCTGGGCTGAGGGCGTGGGCTGCGGGCCCAGGACAGGGCTGCGGGCAGGCGAGCACTAGCCCCAGTACAGAAATAAATCAATATATTCCGTGTACAAAACATGCTCCTGCAGGCCCGGCCGGGCACTCCCGCGCATATAAATAAGGCCCGGGCCGGCCTCCCCTCTGTCCTGCCCGCGGGGGCCAGCGCCTGCGCCGGGGCCACCCCTCCCGCGGGACCCCCGGGCTGGCCGGGGTCACTTGAGGTCCACGTCAAAGTCCAGCACCAGCAGCTTGGTCTCCTCGGTGCCGTTGCGGCTGCCCACGGCGCACACCAGCTTGGTGTTGGAGGCACGGATGCGCCACACGACCCCCCCGGAGCCCCCGCTCTCCAGGGCCACCAGGTTTCGCACAAACTCCCCCGTCTTCAGGTCCCACAGCTTCACTGTCCCGTCATCGGAGCTGGTCACCACGAACTTGGAGCTGAACTGCAGGCAGGTGACTGCACTCTGGTGCTTGCTGGGACCTAGGGGGAGGCACCCGTGAGCCCCACGTGCACCTGGGGCACCCACTGCTGTGTGACATGGGTGCTGCCACACCTGGCACCTCAGAGCCACAGACCTGGCTCCTCAGGGACACACCACTCTGTCCAGACACAGCCCCAGGGGCAAGGAGCTCCTTTCCCTCCCACCCCCAAGGCAGAGAGCTGCCCCTTCCCAGCCCCCTGGTGGGGGGAACTCCCCGCTGCCCCCAAGGGTGAGGAATCCCCTCTCACCCTGCAGCGTCTGCAGGCACTGCCCCGTCTTGATGTCCCAGATCTTGACAGTGGAGTCGGCGTTGCCGGACACGAGGATGTTGTCACGCAGCTCCATGCCGCTGGTGAGTGACTGGTGCCCCATGAGCGTGTGCAGGCAGTTCCCACTCTCCACATCCCACACGCGGATTGAGGTGTCCAGAGACCCGCTCACGATGTGTGTCCCATCAAACTGCCAGAGAGAAGGGGTCCAGCTCAGTACTGAGGACAGGAGTGTCCCTGGTTTGGGATACAGCACCACCAGAGACCCCAGTTCAGCAGATGAGACAGGCTCACGCACCTCTTGGCTTTTTGGGCTGTAGAAATGCTCCAGGAAAGGGGCATGGAGGAGTGTTTAGTGTTTATGTCCACAGCATGTGTGCGTGGAAAGTGGGGTCAGGGGGCAGAGACTGTCCCCGCAGGACACAAACACGTTTCATGTGTCCTTGCAGGGCAGATACATCCCCTTCAGGACACACATGTCCCTGCAAAGCTCACAGGGCCTTGCATGACACAGGCACAGCCTATTTGTCCCTACAGCACATGTGGAACCTTGGGCACAGCTTGTGCCCATGTCTGGAAGGCAGGGGAGCGATAGGGCAAGCCATCAGGAAGGCAGGTTGTACCTGAGGGAGCAGGGAGGGCAGGGGAGCCAGAGAGGGGGAAGCAGCAGGAGGGGACGCGTGCGGGGCCGTACCTGCAGTGAGTAGACCCGGTTGGTGTGCCCCTGCAGCGTGTGGGTGCAGCTCTCGCTCTCGGGGTCCCACACCTTGACCGTGTAGTCGTAGGCTCCGCTGACCACCTTGTTGCCGTCATACTGGACGCAGCGCACGGCTGCCACGTGGCCCATCAGCACGTGCAGGCACTGCCCCGTCTCGATGTCCCAGAGCCGCAGCGTGGCATCCCGGGAGCCACTCACCACCCTGCAGGTGAGGGGACACCTGTGTGGGGCCCAGCTGCCAGGGCAACCTGGGGCTGACACGGCTGAGCCCCGCGGATATCGCCCCTGACCAGCAGCCGCAGCCCCTGCTGTACCTGTTGCCGTGCAGGTGCATGCAGCGCACGGTGGACGTGTGTCCGTACAGCGTGTGCACGCACTCGCCGCTGTCGGCGTTCCACACCTTGAGTGTGCGGTCAGTGGAGCCGCTGATGACAATGCTGTCCCTCATCTGGGAGGACCAAACCCCCCCAGTGTGGCCCACCAGCGTCTGCACACACTGCGGGGAACAGGACATGAGGGACAGGTGAGCCTCTCACACCTCCCCACCCCTGAAACAGCACAGAGGAGCAGCACAACTCCCTGCCCTTGCCATATAGGGCCCAAACTGACCCCAGGAGTCAGGGTGTAGCACCACCTGTGCTCGGCACAGGGAGATGGTCCCTGCCCCAAACCCCTGTGGCGATGATGACAATGCCACGCTCAGTTCCCTGGTGACAGTGACGCTCACCTCCCCTGTGACAGCTGACCACACTTTAAGCGTGTTGTCATCAGAGCCGCTTACTATGCGATTCCCACAGAACTGCAGGCAGGTGATCACATGGTCATCGTGGCCCTTCAGTACCTGTGGGAGTACAGGAGTATGTGGGGGGCAGTGTGGCCTCCCCCGCCAGCAGGACCCCCCAACACAATGAGCAGTGGGAAGGCAGCAGGAGCTGTGGGGAGGAAAGGCAGGCGGGTCTCCAAACCACCTGCAGCCCCTGACGCTTCTGCAGGGCAGCAGAGCTGGGGTGTGTGGTGTGTCTGGCAGCTGCTGCAGGGGCAGGGGTTACAGGAGAACAAGGAGTGGGGGGCTCAGGAACCCAGCAGCAAGAGAAAGGGTGGTGGGGACTACCCAGGGGCAGGAGGGACACACAGGGAGAGATCACCAGGGTTCTGGGACCCTGCACAGAACACAGTTGAGCCCTGTGATGCTGCACCTTCCCTGGGTGCTGGGGCTGACTGCAGGCCTGCATGGGGGTTTGGGGAGGGGCAAAGGAAGGGACCCCCTTCTCCAGGCCCAGGGGACCTCATTTCTGTTGCCCCCACTGCTCTGAGCAAGCTGGATCTGCTCCCATGGCAGATCCTGTATCAGCTTCCCTATACCAGTGACCTGGGGTCTGTCCCCAGAGGGACCCCCACCAGCCCCTCAGCTCTCCAGGGTCTACCCCTGGCAGGGGCACTCGCAGGCTCACCGTGGGGACCACAGCTCCCCAGAGCCTGTCCCCGCTGGGACACCCAGACCTACCTTGGGGGGCCGCAGCTCCCCGCTGCGCCAGTTCATGTCGATGCGGTGCTGCCGCAGGAAGGCGAATTTCCAGGGGCTGTACATGAACCCAGGGCTGAGCAGGCGTCGCTTCCGCAGGTGTAGGGGCTCCTCGATCCCTGCAGGGGACAACACAGCCGTGCCTCACCTGGGTCAAGCCTGGGGTGGCCCCCCAGCCCCCACCCGGCAGGACCCTCACCTTCCTCACGGCACTTCTCCCTCCAGAGCAGGTTGTCCTCGGCCAGGACCCTCCAGTAGCGGCACGTCTGGGCGGCACGGAGCAGGTCCCGTGGCTCCAGGAAGGACAAGACGTACAGAGCCAGCTGTGAGGGGATAAAGGTCACAGAGCGGTCACCAGGGGCGGTCAGGCAGGCCAGGCCAGGCCCCTGGTCCCCAGGCTTCACTCACCTCCTTGGGCAGCAGGGAGATGAAGTCCCGCTGGAACTGGGGCTCGATGACCTGCATCATGTACTTGATCTGCGCCGGCTCGCAGCGGTCAATGAGCTCATCCAGGGCCAGCAGCTTCTCGGGGCCGCTCCAGCGCTGCAGGGGGACCCCCAGTGAGCCCCGGCTCTGTGCCCCCAGCTAGCCCAGCCACAGCCCCGGCAGCCAGGCCTCTTGTCCCAGGCCAGGAGCCTGAGGCAGGTGGGAGTTTGTTGGGTCACAGGTGCTGTGTGACAGGTGACAACACAACTGGCCAGGGCTGAAACCTCCCCTGTGTTTCCTCACACAAACAAAACTACTCAAAATTCACTGTGGGTCCAACCCCTGCCCATAGTGGGGATCCCTCAGGGTCAGCTCCCTCCCCTCATACCCAGGCTGCCTGGAGCCACCAGGTGAGCCATACCTGGAAAGTGCGGAGCCAGTCCTGTAGCTCAGGTGGGGGGGCCACCGAGGGGATGCACCGGCGCCGGGCCTGCCCCACCTTGGCATTGCGCAGGTCCCCAAAGGTGGTCGTGGGGCTGGGTGTACAGGGACCCAGTGTCCTGGGACAAACACCAGGCACAGGTGAGGCCACGGCACACCTGGCACACGCCAGCACTGCTCTGGGCCACAGTGCTCCAGAGGCTCTTGGAACTGGTTCCTGCCAGTGGGAGCTGCACCCCACTGACCCCTTCTCTTTGCTCCCACCCTGCCGACCCCTTGCCCAGCCACGCAGCCCAGCCATGCAGCCCAGCCTGCTCAGCAGATAGGCAACTGGTCAGGGCTGGATCTCACCTGGGCCAACCCCTGCTCGACCCAAGTGGCTGCACCAACCTCCTGGGGAGGGCAGCAGGAGCTACGTGTCACCCCAGCACACAGAGCCCCCCGACCCTCACCTGCCATAGTCAGAGCCCTTGCACAGCTTCTTCCCGGGGGACAAGGCCCGGCCATCTGGCCCATTCTCTGACTTCCGCTTCATCTGTGGACACAGCAGGTTGGAGTGGCTGGAGAAACTCAGGCAGACCCCTGCAGACTCCCTGCCCACAGATGATCCTTGTGGACCCCTGCAGGCCACCCACCCAGAACTGACCCCTGTAGGCCCACTGCCCACACCTATGGGGCAGACCCCCACCTGCTCTTGCTTTCTTGCTTTTTCCCTTCGGGGTCCATACAGCAACAAAGGATCCCCACACAGGGCAAGGGGGGCTGCACCAGGGCCAGCCAGGGCTGGGGACCAAGGTAGCACCTCCTTCCCCCACCCTATGACCAAGGACCCCCATGATGGGCAGGGGTCTGCACGGGGGACTGCAGCAGCCCCAGCAGCAAGGCACCACGGAACCCCAGCCCCCGTTTACCCTCCCACAGGTGCCCCGGGCACCTTGGGGCGCAGGTGCCGCAGCAGCCCCCCGTCCCCAGTGCGCTGCAGGTAGTCGATCCACCGCTCTCCCAGCGTGTAGTACAGGTATACGTTGCTGCTGTCTTCCCCCTCCTCGCTGCAGCAGCTCCCTTCCTCCTCCTCCTCTTCATCGTCCTCCTCCTCCTCCCTGGTGGACCTGGGGGGCTCCTGTGGTCCCCGCCCCCCAGAACCATCAGGGTCTGCTCCAGACCTGGGGGTACCCTTCCAGGGGCGCTCGGGCTCCCAGGGCCCTGGTGTCTCCTCCTCCTCCTCTTCTTCCTCCTCTTCAGCCACCACCTGAGCAGGGAAAAGGCAGGGAGCAGGGCTGACTGCACCAGCCTTGGAGAGGCCTCCAGTCCCCTGCTGGAGACCCAGAGCAGGGCAGGGGCTGGGAGTGCTGCTGGATGGCTGCCAGTGAGAGCCACGGTCCCGCAGCACAAGGGCTCCACTCAACAGCACTGGGGGGCTGCAGGGCAACCACAACCACGAGCTCCTCCAGAATCTTCCAGATGCAGGTCTGTCTGCTAGCCACGAGCTTCCCCTGAGCCTCCCCAGAGCCAGACCTCCTCCCTCATCCTTGCACCTGGCAGCAGGAACCCTTCTGCACCTACCTGTGCCGCAGGTGCCCTGTGGTCCTCACTGTCCCCCAGGGGAGTGGGGCTGGCTCGCGGGGGCCCCTCGGGGCCGGGGCACCGCCGGCACGTCATGCGCTGGCTGTTGAGCTCCAGGATGCGTGTGGTAATGCCCTTGACATGCAGCAGGTCATCCAAGCAAGTGAAGCCCTTCAGCTCCTGCGTGGAGGGAAGTCAGCCCTGCCCAGAACAGAATCCCTCCTGCTCCCAGAGCCCCCGGCCCAAGCGGCCCCGCAGGGAAGAGTCACAGCGCTGTGAAAGTGGGCAGCAACCCACAGCTGCCAGCTGGGGTAGGAGCACTGCACCCCAGATGAGCAGGATGGGGAGCGAGGCTGCAGCTCCAGGGCAGGAGAACAGCTGGACACATGCAGATGCACACAATTGAGGCACCCACGGTCCCGGCCCGGCCCCGACCTGGGCTCAGCTGCCTCCCGTCACCCTGCACGGCTCCCGGAGCACCTGCCATGGCAGGAACCCGGCGGGGCCGGGCTGTGCTGGGGCAGGGCTCGACAGACAACCAGCGCAGCCCACGGGCCCAGGAAGGGCCCGACCGCCCCTTCTGACCGGGCAGGGCTCGTTTGACGGTGCTGCTGCTCCCCACGAAGGGCTGCAGCAGCAGCAGCGCCCGGGACAGGCCCCGCTCCAGACCACCCTCCCTTTGTACCCCCGGTTTCTGCCCTCCCGCCTCCCGGTGCTCCCAAGCGTGCGCGTTCACAGCACTTGGACATCCACGCCTCTGCCTCCTTCTCGAGCCCCAGACACGCCGAGCGCTCCCAGCCCCGCCTCGCCCGGCCGCGGCGCTGCCCATCCCTGCAGCATCAGGGCACGGCCGCCGCCGGGCCCGCGGGGCCGCTCCCACTGCTCCGGGCCGGGGCACCGCCGGCCGCAGGGTCTCGGCCCACCATCGCCGGTGACGGCGCGCGGAAGCAGTCGGGGCGCGGGGCCAGTCCCGTTCCCCCGGTTCCCCGCTGGGGCCCGGCAGCACCGGGGGCGGCTGCGCTCGCCCGGCCCCGCGGGCTCGGGGCGGGACTCGGGGATCCCGGCCCCCCACCTGCCCCAGCTACCAGCACGGAAACCGCGCTGTCGCCCCGCGGCCTCCACCCCGGGACCGACACCGCCACGGCCACCCCCGCCTCGGGGTCCCGGGCCCGGGGCGCCGTCCCCCCCCGCCGCTTCCCCCCCCCCCGCACCTCTCTCTTGCGGACGATACCGCGGGCACGGCGGCGGCCGATGCCGCTGAGGGCACCCTCCAGCTCGGCCACGCCGGCGCGGTTGATGTCGAGCTTGGCCCCGGCGGGGCCCGGCCCCGACATCCCGGTACCGGTCCCGGGCGCTGCCGCCGCGCAGGCCCCACCGCACCGCGCAGGCGCGGCCCCGCCCCCCACACGCGCAGACGTGGCTGTGAGGAAGCAGCGGCTTTATTGGTGATTGCGCGCGGGGGCGGAGCCAGCCGCCGTGGCCCCGCCCCGCCCCGGCGCTCCGGTCACCGCCGCTTGTACAGACACGGCCGCAGGCGCAGCCCGGGAGCGGGGCCCGGCCGGGCCGGGCCCGTCTTGGCGAACTCCAATACGTAGAAATAGGAGCTGGAGAGATCCTGGGGGCGCGGGGATACCCGACTCTGTTACCGGCACCCCGGAGCCCCCATCATCACCATAGCCCCGGAACACCCAGCCCCTCCAGCAGCACTCAGTGCTGCCTCAGCGAACCCCGGGTCCCCCCTGCCTCCTTCCAGACCCCCACAGTGCCCAGAGCCTGGCTGCAAAGCTCCTGTGGGGACTGAGCACCCTGGCCCCCAGCGTGCTCCTCTAAACGCCCAACACCCCCACACCACAATTCCTCCAGGCCCTGGGACCCCCAAGCCCCTGCTGGGCTACACATCCAGCTGCAGGCCCCACGCTGCAATCCCAGTGCGCTCCAGGCTCCCCTCATCCCCTCCCCAGCCCCATCCAACCCGCGTCCCAAACTGCCACAGCGTGCCCCCATGGTCCCCAGGACCTCCAAGCCTTCCCCCAGGACTCCACCCCCATGAGTACGTGTGCCCCCGTTCTCCCACCTGCAGCCCCCCCTGCACCAATCCCTTCCACCTCCACCTACTTTCACCATCCCCTGGTCTGCTCCACGCCAGGCTGGGTCTCAGTACACCCCCCCGGACCCCTTCCCTGCACCCGGCTCCAGGTGCATGCAGTGCCCAGCCCTAGGCACGCACCTTGGAGACGGTCTTGAAGCCCAGCTGCGTCATGGCCTTCAGGAAGGCACGGATGTCCTCAAAGCGGCTGGCCACCTCGGCCACCAGCAGGGTCCCCCTGCGGTCACTTGAGCACTGAGCAGGGTGCCCAGGCACCCCCAGGACGCTGCTCAGCATCCCTGCCCCAATCCCCCACTGCCCCACCACCTCTGCCTACCCGAGCCTGAGCACACGGTTGGCCTCTCCTAGGATCTCCTGCAGGTTGGTGCCCATCAGCGCCAGGCAGAACACGGCCACGTCCACCGACTCAGCCGCCAGCGGCACCTGCCCACCCCGGGACACCCCCGGAGAAGGAGGATGACTACTTGGCCTGGACGCCGCTCTGCACACCCCCGGGAGCAGGAGGATGGCGATGTTGACGGGGCCGGGACACACCCCCGGACTCGGCAGGCTTGTGCCCCGGGCACACACCCAGCTTTCAAGCAGACACAGCCGTGCCGCCCCCCGCACGGGACCCTCGGGTCACGGTCCCCCCACCCGCGCGCCCTCCCTGCCCCGGGGCTGCCCCGTACCTTGGCCATGTCGCAGACGGTGACCCGCGGGCTCAGCGGCACCAGGTCGAAGCAGTGCACCTGGTTCTTGACGCCGGCGGCCAGCGTGCAGTCCCCGCAGCCAAAATCCGCCACCACGAGCGACGCGGGGCTGGGGCAGGACGGCGGGCTCAGAGCGGCGCCTTGGCCCCGCTCCGCCCCCCCGATCACTGCCGGGCCCCACCGCTCACCCCCGGTCCATCCCCCGGGCCTCCGGTCAGCCCCACCGCTCACGGCCCCCCGGTCCATACTCCCCGCAGGCCTCGCCGTCCCGCTCACCGGCGGCGCAGGTAGCGCACGATGCGCTGCACCGGGCGCTCGGGCCAGCGCCGCACCTGCCGCTCGAAGCCCCGGTGGTAGAGGTGGAAAGCGGCAGGGTCGGCGCGGAAGAGCCGCGCGGCGTCGCGGCTGGTGCCGGTGTAGAGCTGCTGGTTCAGATAGCGGAACCGGGCGCCGAGCAGCCGCTCCTCCATCCGCGCGCGGAGCGCGGCCGAGCGGCCCGAGCGGGGCTCCGGGGCAGCCTCCGGGGGGCCCGGCGGCTCCGGGGGGCCCGGCGGCTCCGGGGGGCCCGGCCCAGAGCCCCGCTCCCCGTCCGACCCCGCCGGCCGCTCCTGCTGCCGCTGCCGCTTCTGCCGGTTCCGCCGCTGCCGACGGCTCAGTCCCGCCGGCTTCCCGGACTGCTCCGCCGGCTCAGCCGGGCCGTCTGGGGGCATGGAGAGGGGGCTCAGGGCGCGGAGGCGGCTCCCTCGTGCCCGCCGGGCCCCGGAGCCGTCCCGGTACCTGTGTCCGGCCGCTGCCCAGCCTGCCGGGGCTCGTCGGGACCGGCCGGGAGCTCCCCCGCCGCGGCCCGCGGCCCGCCGGCCTTCTTCCGCTTCCGGGGCCGCTTCCGCGCCGCCTCGCCGTCCCGAGCGGTCCCGGGCAGCCGCCTCTTTCGTGGGTGCTGTGGAGAGCGGGGCCGGTAACTACCCCGCGCCCGGGACTGCCCGGCCCGCCGCCCCGCATCGCCCGCTTACCGGTCGGCCCGGGCCCTCCGGGGCGCCGCGGGGCAGCGGCTCCGCTGCATCGTTCCAGCCCTGCTCCGCCAACATGGAGCGGGGACCCTCGGTCGGCACCGGGACGCACGTGCTCCCGCCCCGGAGCGCCGCGGGAACAGCCCCTCCCCGCGGCCCGGAGGACCGGGCGGGAGCCTCGGCTGCACGGGCGGTGCCGCGGCCGGCCCGCTCCGCCCCCGACCGGGTGACCGCGCTCCCGATCAATTCGGCACGCCCCGTAACCCCGCGTCCAGCCCGCCTGACCGCGCTCCGCGGCCCCGGCCCCGCCCCGCCCGGTGCCGTGTGGCGGAGCCCCGCCCGCTGCCCCGCCCGCTGCCGTGTGGCGGCACCGCGGCCCGTGCGGGTTCCGGCCGGCAGGGGGCGCGCTCTCGGGCGGAGCCCCCGCGCCGTCCCGCGCCCGCCGCAGCCGCCGCCCTGCGGAGCCGCCGGGACACGCACCCGGTAACGGCGGGACGGCACCGGCACCGAGCGGGGACAGGTTGGGGAGGCCGCGAGTGCGGCTGCGGGCGACCCGAAGCGGGGGCAGGGCCGGACGGAGCCCTGCCGGAGCCGGAGCCGGAGCCGGAGGTTGGGGTACAGGGGAGGGCTGGGGGGAACAGGGAAGGGTTCGGGGTACAGGTAAGGGATCGGGGGTACAGGGTAGGGTTGGGGGTACAGGGCAGGGCTGGGGGCTGAAGGGGAGGGCTGGGGGGAACAGGGTAGGGTTGGGGGTACAGGGGAGGGTTGGGGGTACAGGGGAGGGACTGATGGGGCCGCAGGGCAGAGCGGGGCCCTCGCAGCTGGTTTGGGGTGACACGGTGGAACTGCGTCTCCACATCCCGTCCCCTACCCCGGGTGCTGAGCAGGCCGAGGGGGGCACTTGGCCATCCGGGCAGGGCTGGGGCCGGTTGGCCCGGCGGGGCTGGGTGGGGGCCGGTGGGTGACAGGGGGACACAGTCCCGGGCCGAGCAGGGGACAGGGTGGGGCCAGGATGGGGTGTCATCGCTGCGGTGTGGGGTCCCACAGGGCCGGGACTAGTGTGGCGTGTCCTGGGGACCCCTTTTCATGAGGTGCCCCCAAATGGGTGGGGGATAAATATTGTCTGGGAGTGTGGGTGTTCTGGTGCCGAGACAGGGCCAGTGCTGCAGTGGGCATGCTGGGGCCGTTCTGGGCTGTATGAGACCCTGGCAAAAATCGAGTTCTGCATCCCACCCCTCTGGAGCTGCCTGGGGCAAGGGGTGCAGGCAGGGTCCTGGGGGACAGCTGCAGTGCTGGCAGCTGGTGAGGGTCCCGCTGTGTCTGGGTGGGCATGAGGTCCAGGGGCATCCTCCAGCAGCAGGCTTGAGCCCCAGTGAGTGCATGTTGGGCTGTCATATTCAGTGTGACTGTCCCCACACTGCGAGACTCGCTGCATGTCCCTGCTCAGCATCACAGACCACCGGGCAGCGGGTCCCACGCTCGCAGCCGGGGGCTCAGGGGGACGTGGGGAGCAGGAGGGAGCTCAGTGCCTGGCTCTGAGCTAGGGTGTCCATGGATCCTCCATGTCCATGGGGTCCTCCATGCACGAGGCTTTGGGGTCCCGCTTTCTGAGCGTGGCCCATGCCAGGCCCAGCCAAGCGGGTCAGGAGGGTCACGGGGCTGCAGGATCCCATGCCAGGGATGCTGAGCTACCCCAGCCTCACTGCCTCCCAGAGCTGTGGGCACCGGGGCCGGCTGTGCCTGGTGATAAGCCCGGGGGTGCCAGCTTGGCTTCCTGTGGGTGGCCACGGCCCCGCTGGAGTCACCCGGGATCTTCCCCTTGGGCTGCGGGTCCGGCTCCAGCCCAGACCTCAGCCTGCCTGCGGCTTCCTGGAGAGCTGCAGGGACGGGGCGGGAGGGATCAGGGATGGGGCGGGAGGCTCCTGTACTGCTGTTCCAGGGCCCTCCCCGCCGAGGGGGGTCAGGGTCCCCATGTCCTTACCCACGTCCCCCCCTGCAGCTGCCATGGATGACATCTTCACACAGTGCCGGGAGGGCAACGCGGTGGCCGTGCGGCTGTGGCTGGACAACACCGAGAACGACCTCAACCAGGGGTGAGCGGGCTCTGCGGGGCTGGGGGCCGTGCTGGGCGCTGGTTTCCGCCCAGGGAAACCTTCCCTCTCGGTGGAAAGGCAGGGGGCAGATGGCAGGACGCAGCTCCTCCCCGCTGGAGGAAGTTACCGCATCGCTGAGGCACGAGGCCAAACATCCTCTGGCCACTTCCTCACGGCCACAGCCGGGGATCAGCTGGGCTGGGGCTGCCTCCCCTGTCCCCGTGGTGGCGGCTGTGCCCGCTGACCTTATCCTTGTGTCCTCATCCCTCTCTGGGGGGCACCATGGCAGATGTGGGACACGGCTGGGACCACTGGGCTGGGAGCTGTGGGGGCCACGCTGTGTGCCCAGGGGTCTGCTCCCCACAGCCCGTTTGAGGGGTCCTGCAGGACCGTGGGGTTCAGCGTGTGCTCACAGCCATTCAGGAGCCACGACTGTTCTGTGCCGGGTAGCCCCTGCCTGCAGGGTCGTGGTGGTGACAAATGGGGTCTGCTGAGGCAGCGGGCTGGAGCGGGGCTGAGACTGGGGGGAGCCTGGGCTGGAGGGCAGCTGGGGCTGCAGCAGCCCCTTTGCCAGTTCCTGATCTCCATTTAAGGCCTGGCTGCCACCTCCTCCCTTACTTGGTCATGGAGTGGGGGGATGGGGACAGGATCCAGCTGTGATTCAGCCTTGGAGGAGACAGGATTTGGCCTGGGCCGGTGGGGCCCTCGTGGGGGTGGGAGTGGGATGGATGTTCAACCCCGTCCCTTCGTCCCTGCCGCTGGTGTTTTGAGAATGATGCCAGTGGTGCCTGGGCCAGGGGGCTACAGCTGAGCAGAGCCCCGTGCCACCCTGCAGGGACGACCATGGGTTCAGCCCCCTGCACTGGGCCTGCCGCGAGGGCCGCTCCAACGTGGTGGACATGCTCATCATGCGCGGCGCCCGCATCAACGTCATGAACCGCGGCGATGACACCCCGCTGCACCTGGCCGCCAGCCACGGCCACCGGGACATCGTGCAGAAGGTACCTGTCCCCAGTGCCAGCACCTGCCCCTCCCCACCCCATGTGTAGCCCTCCACACTGCCCTGTCACCTGTCAGGAACACCCGGCATCCCCCCAGCACCCCTGAGCTCCCCACTCCTCACAAACTCCCTCGAAATCCCTCTGAGCCCCGCATCAGTTCAGCTCCCTCCCTGCAGCTCCCATTGTGCTGCCCCTGCGTCCCCCAGGGCAAGGCACAAGGAGGATGAGGGCTGTCTGGGGATCTTGCCTGGGCTTGCAGGGACAGTCCTGGGCTCACAGGGACTGTCCTGTGTCCCCAGCTGATGCAGTTCAAAGCAGACATCAATGCAGTGAATGAGCACGGGAACACACCGCTGCACTATGCCTGCTTCTGGGGACATGAGCAGGTGGCTGAGGTGAGTGGCAGCACGGGCAGGAGGAGAGCGGGGTGCTAGTGGGACTGAGGGGAGATCACAAACCACAGTCCTTGCTCCCTGTTCCCACAGGACCTGGTGGGCAGCGGGGCCCTGGTCAGCATTGCTAACAAATATGGTGAGACCCCCACAGACAAGGCCAAGACGCCACTGAGAGAGGTCCTGAAAGGTACGAGGGTCCCTCAGGACCCCACAACTGACACAGCCTCCAGCCAGCCACAGCAGGCTCTGGGTGCCACCCTCCTCCTCCTCCTCTTCCCCCCTCTGCAGAGCGTGCTGAGAAGCTGGGCCAGAGCCTCACCAAGATCCCCTACAAGGACACCTTCTGGAAGGGCACAACCCGCACCCGGCCCAGTAAGGACTGGGGGTCCCTTGGGGGGTGCCATGGGTTCCCTGTGCCCTGCTGGCACTGCCTCCTGGAGCCAGCAGCCATAGGCATTCATCCCCCTTCCACTGTAGGGAATGGGACCCTGAACAAACTCGCTGGGATTGACTTCAAACAGCTGAGCCTGAGCCACAAACTGAACGAGAACCAGTCGGGAGAGGTGGGTCCCTCTCACCCCCGGGTGGGCGCTGTCCAGTGCACACCGCTGCGTCCTGGCCCTCCGGGAGGGAGCTCCTCCCCAGCTCAGGGGGCTCCCTTCTCATGGTGGATCCTTGGTCCCATGGGCTCCAGAGCCCCACACAGGGGCCTGCGAGTGCTGGGGGCTCTGCACCCTTTTCACAGTGCCTGTGTCTCTGCTCCTCCTGCAGCTGTGGAAGGGGCGCTGGCAGGGCAATGACATCGTCATCAAAATGCTGAAGATCCGGGACTGGACGACGCGAAAGAGCCGGGACTTCAACGAGGAGTACCCAAAGCTGCGGTGAGCGCTGCACCTGGCATGCGCCTGGGATCCCCACCAGGATTTGACCAGGCCACTCCAGCACCTTCTCAGGGCCAGCAGCAGCTCTCAGAGTATGGGGCAGGCAGGAGCCTCCCAGCTCTGCGGGGCCAGGAACGCTCCAGGGTGGTGGCCAAGGGCTGGGAGGCCCTGGGTGATGGCAAAGGGCAGATGAGTGGGTGCAGGCAGCCCCTTCCTGTTCTTAGGGCTGGCACTTCTCTTGCAGGATCTTTTCCCACCCCAATGTGCTGCCGGTGCTGGGTGCCTGCCAGGCCCCTCCAGCTCCTCACCCCATTGTCATCAGCCATTGGATGCCCTACGGCTCCCTGTACAACGTCCTGCACGAGGGAACCAGTGAGTGCTGGGGGATGATGGTGTGTTTGGGGGCAGCAGGGGCCTCTCCAGCCACAGCCCTGGCTGGGCTTAGGGTGGGTTGACCCCATCACCCCCTTCCCAGATTTTGTGGTGGACCAGATGCAGGCGGTGAAGTTTGCCTTCGATATCGCGCGGGGCATGGCCTTCCTGCACACGCTGGAGCCCCTCATCCCACGGCACCACCTCAACAGCCGCAGCGTCATGGTGAGTGGGGCACAGCCCCTCTCCCAGGGCAGGGGGGCTCTCCGGGCAGGGGAGCTCCTACTGACAGCCTGCTGTCCCCAGATCGATGAGGACATGACGGCACGGATCAGCATGGCCGACGTCAAGTTCTCCTTCCAGTGCCCGGGGCGGATGTACGCCCCGGCCTGGGTGGCCCCCGAAGGTGAGTGCCCCGTTCCCAGCCCCCCCAGGCTGGCCCCCTCACCCCCAGTCCCACTCAGCCCCCAGCCATCCCCCAGCCCTGCAGAAGAAACCAGAGGAGATCAACCGGCGCTCGGCTGACATGTGGAGCTTCGCGGTGCTGCTGTGGGAGCTGGTGACACGTGAGGTGCCCTTCGCTGACCTGTCCAACATGGAGATTGGTATGAAGGTGAGGGGGTGGAGGGGCAGAGGAACTGATCTGGGTCACAGTTAGGGGAGAAGTTCTGGCCATTGAGGGTGGTGAGGCCCCGGCATGGGTTGCCCAGAGAACTTTGGCTGCTCCATCCCTGGAAATGCTTAAGGCCAGCTTGGAGGGGGTGTGGAACCACCTGGCAGGTGGAAGGTGTCCCTGCCTCTGGGGGCAGGGTCCCAGTCCTGACTCTGGCTCCTCTTCTTGCTTGCAGGTAGCGCTGGAGGGGCTGCGTCCCACCATCCCCCCTGGCATCTCCCCCCACATCTGCAAACTGATGAAGATCTGCATGAACGAGGACCCAGCCAAGCGCCCCAAGTTCGACATGATCGTGCCCATCCTGGAGAAGATGCAGGAGAAGTAGAGAGGAGGCGCCTCCCCCCTCCAGTGCTGCCTTGCGCCCCCCGCCACCCCCAAGTGCCTTTAGCCCTCGAGCCAGGGGGAGCAGAGGACACCCCTGACCCTGAGCCAGCCACGGACACACGGTACAGATGGCACTGCCTGCGCCGGAGCGCTGCAGGCTCCGGACCCCCGCCCAGGGCAGCCCTAACCCAGCCTCTGGGCAGCCCCCGGCCCAGTGCAGCCCCCCTACCCCAGGGCACGGCGTGTGGCTTGGCCCTGCTGCTGGGGGATGGGGCTGTGGGGCCCCCTGTCCCCCTTGCTGGCCAAAGCCCAAGCCAGGACTCAGCCCCCCAAGGCTGGGGGGGAAGGGGCAGGCCAGGAGAGGCCACCTGTGGTGCCCAGCACTGCCCCCGCTTCGCGCTTCACTGGCCACTTCCCTCTGGCCCCACAATGGCCACTGGCAACCAAATAAACTTTTGGTATGGAATCAGCTGCTGGGGTACAGGGTGTGGGAATGAGGGGGGTTGGTTGTGACTGGGGGGCTGGGACTCACAGGGCATGTCTAGGACTGAGGGTGAGGTTGGATTGATATGGTGCTGCCTGGCAGCCCACAGAGCCCTGGGCACGAATCACCACCCACAGCACTCCTCTGGTGCCCAGCACAGGCAGGGTACAGGTACAGGGCCCCCTCGGGAGGTGCCTGGTGCAGGAGGGGTGGGCTCAGGGTCCCATCCCTGGCTCCATTTCTAGTGCTGCCTGTGCAGCCCCCAGGGTATTCCCTGTGGGAGACAAGGGGCAGTTTAGGGAAGAAGGAGGAGGAAGAGTGCTGGGTAGTTCCTGTCCCCTAACCCCACTCTGCTCCAGCACTGTCGGGAGCACCGAGCCCCCTGTGACCAGCAGAGTGGGGTGAGCATGTGGAGGACCAGGGCCAGCGTTTGTGGATGCAGGACAGGAGCAAGGCTGCCTTCCCACAAAACCCTGCGAGGTGTTTAATGGCACCAACACAACCCCTGCAAACTGCCCAAGCTCCCCATGCTCTACGTGAAGTAATGTGGCTTCTTCACATTGATGCCATACTCGGCCAGCGCCGGCGTCAGGTCCTCCATGGTCAGCGTGTACTTCTTGTCCTGGGGGGGACACGGGGCAGGCGGTCACAGCAGGGACAGCCGGGGCTCTGGCACCCCCCAGGGTGCACGGACAGGCGTGTCCCACTCCCAGAGGAGCTGCTGGGCAGCACTGGGGCATTCCCAGCTCCCCACGTTCTGTTGCTCTGTGCCCTCAGGCATCCCCAGACACCTAGCATCAAATGCCATTGGCCTTGCAGAGCCCCCGAGCCCCAGATATGGCACTAGGAGGCTCCCCAGGACCCCTCACTCCAGCTGCTCCCCAAGCTCAGAGCTGCAGCCACTGCTGGGGTGGGGGGGCACCAAAGTGTGCCCACAAGCTCCATGCCCCCCTCGTGTCCCTGCCAGCCCCTCCCCACCTGCAGGGACCACCGTAAGCCTGGCAGGTTCTGGGATTTCTGCACCCCATGTTCCTGCACTCGCTGGCTGCAGGCTCAGCCCCGCTTCCCTCCGTGCCCTCACCTTGCTCTTGCTGCGGGAGCTGCCCGAGGCCGTGCCCTTCATTTTGCAGTGCTGCAGCGCGTCGTTGGCGATGTCTGAGATGAACTTCTGTGCCGCCAGCGAGATCAGGCGGATTCTGCGGGACAGGCACCGTGTCGGCGAGGCAGCAGGGGTGCGTGGGCCCCTCTGCCGGACCCCTGTGGGGTTCCTGCGACTCCCCCCCGCCTTGCGGCCACTCACATGCGGGGGTCCGAGGCCTCAAACCCTGCCCGGTTCAGGTAATACCCTGTGACGGCGTCCGGGATCTGGGAAGGCAAGAGTTGGAACAGCTCCACGGCGGGGCGGGAGCGTTTCCACATCCTGTATCCCGCCGCACGGGAGCCGCCCCGCATCCCCGTCCGTGGGACCTGCCCCGTGCCCCGTCCCGTCCCACAGCAGCCGCCCTGTGTGCCGGTACCGTGGGCGTGTAGTCCTCCAGCTGCATGAGGAAGTCCACGAGCGGCGTGGTGGACACCACGGGCTTCACGTCGCCGTTGGCGGCGGGCGGCACGTACACGCCGTTGGACATGGCCCCGTCCGGGGGGGCGGCCACGGCCGCGGACACCGGCACTACGGGACAGCACGGTCAGCGCCAGGAACCCCGCAGGCCGCGCCGGCAACGCGGGACAGCGCGCTCAGCGGGACCCGTGACACCCCGGGCCAGAGCGGCCCAGGGCGGCCCGCGGGGCCCAGCGCCCGCCGCCCCCAACGCGACTCACCNGGAGCCGCCGGAGCCGCGGGCGCGGGGTCGGGATCGGCGCTGCCGCTCATGGTCCCCGGCACCAGCCTCCGCTCCGCGCCTGCGCGCGCCACGCCGCTCGATTGGCCCCGCGGCTCCTCCGCCCCGCCCCTCTCGACGGCCCATTGGCCCTGCCGGGTTCCCGCCCCGCCCCATATTGGTCCCGCCCTCCGGCGCTCATCGCTCCGCACTCCCCCTGGCGCTGGCGCGGGCACAAACAAAGACGGTGGGCGGGGCTTCGCGCGTTTATTGCCCCGCCCCCGCCCCGCCCCCTTTCCGCGGCGCTCGCGGCCCGGTGCCGCTGCCCGCTCCCGGCGCCGGTCACAGGTCCGCTCCCGCTGCCGCTGTTCGGCCCCGCTGTCTGCTCCCGCTGTCCTGGTCAGCGCGGCCCTAGCGCCCGCAGCAGGCGCGGGAAGTTGGGGGTGCCCCAGCCCGTGACCGGGTCCCAGGCGGGGGTGGCGCAGAAGCCCTGGCCCTGCACGGTGCCGTCCAGGCACGACAGGTGGCAGCCCTGGATCACCTGCGGGGACCAGCCTCAGTACGGGGGCTCGGGGCCGCCCCCCGAGTCTCGGGACAGCGACCTCCGGAGCACAGGAGCCCCACACAGCCCTGGGACAGGAGCCCGGGGCACAGGGACCATGCGGGACAGGGGTACCGTGGCCACAGGGACCCTGCCCGCAGTCCCCGGGAACCCGGGACAGCCGTCCCTGGCACAGGAATCCCAGGGACAGGGACCCCCACAACACCCCCCATGGCACAGGGTCCCCTCCGGACACTGGCAACATGGAACAGCATGCTCAGCTGGGCCTTGGGACTGCTGCAGTCACTGGACGCTGCTGCCCTGGCCACACAAGAGGACCCACCCCACAAAGCTCACAGGAGCCCGTGGGGACCCCAGGACACCCCTCCCACGGGAAGGCTACAGGGACAGGAGGACACTGCTGGTCCTGCCCCAGCCACAGTGCTGGCAGCAGGAGCCGCAGGACAGCCCCCTCAGCCCCCAGCCCAGCCCTGGCAGCACACATGCCTTCCCAGCCCCAGGGACAGACCCACCCCAGGCCTCAGCCCAACACTTCAGGACACCCAAAGTCCCCTCAGCCCCAGCACAGCCCCTCCAGCGCCCGTGCCCTGCCCCACTCACATCATAGAATGCATCACCATGCCCTTGCTTCTGCAGCTGGTAGAGCGCAGGGTTGAGGAAGCCCAGCGGTGCCAGCCCCCGCTGCAGGCGCCGGTCGTTGATCAGTGCCACCATGCCCGCCACCACCGGCGTGGACGCCTGCGTGGGCACAACCCCTGAGCCCAGGGCCCCGCCGCGCCGCAGGGAGCAGGGGCTGAGCTCCTTACCGAGGTCCCCGACACCCAGGGCAGCGGGATGCGGTTCGTCACCACCCAGTAGTTGTCAGAGAGCGCAGCCAGGTCGGGGTACGCGCGGCCGCTGCTGTTGTAGTAGGAGCTGGGCGGCAGCTTCGAGGCCGAGCGCAGGAAACGCCCGACAGCAGCGGCCTGGGGACGGCACGGCCCGTGGGCATCCCCAAACCTGAATCCCAAATCCTCCCCGAGCCCAACCCTAACCCTGCAGCCCCCAGCCTGGCAGCGCAGGGGTCCCTCACCTGGTACTCAGGCATGGGGAAGATGTTGCTGAAGCCGCCCCCGCTGATGTAATCTGTCACCTCCTCTGTCACCAGGAAGGGGTTCTTGAAGGACGTGCCACCCACAGTGGTGACGTAGGGGCTAGGGAGACGGGGACACTGCAGGTGGGCACAGCAGCCACCGACAGCCACCTCTGGTAGCACAACCTCGCCCCACAAAGCCAACCAACCCCCGGGGCTGCACAGGCTGCAGCTCTGGGGTCTGCAGGCGCGCTGCTGAGGACCCCCGGTGACCCTGCAGGGGCTCAGACCCCGCGGGGCTGCGCTGACCCCTCGCGCCCACCTGGAGGCCGGGAAGCTGGGCCGGAACGTGTGGTTCCCGCTGTGCTCCCGCCGACAGCCAGCTCCCTCGTCACCTGCCGACACAGGAACAGGTGACGGGTGCCCACGGCACCCCAGGCAGCCCTGCCCACCCCGCTCGGTGCTCCAGCTCGGCGTGGCAGCCCCGGCCCACCTGAGGCGAACAGGATGGTGAGGCCGCGGGCCGCCGCCTTCATGAGCTCGGTGTTGACGCGCTCCATGTAGGCGTAGGACAGGCTGTCCTCGTCGTCCCCGTAGCTCACCGAGTGCACCCAGGGCACCGCTGACATGTTGCTGAGCAGCAGCAGCCAGGCCAAGAAGGGTTCCTGGCTCTCATGGCGCCCTGCAAGGACATCGGGGAAGGGACACGAGGGATAGTTCCTCCAACATCAGGGATGGGGGACAGCGCGAGGAGCCCTGCCTCATCAGCACCAGCACCTTCCTACGCAGGGCAGCCCCACGTGCTCCTTCCTGTGGGCCACGGAGTCACAGCACAGCCGGCCTGGAGCTCCGTGAGCTCATCCTGGGGCTCCTCACATTGCACGGCACCGAGCTTCAGCTCAGCCCATGGCGTTGGCAAGAGGGCCATCATTAGCCCACGACAGGGGGGTACACTCACACCCCTCTCCAAGACTCTGCCCCAGGGCTGCAGCCACATGGGCACCTGTGGACCCAGCGGGGCCTCAGCTCCTCCTCTGGCAACAGGTCCCAGCAGAGTGGTGCAGGTGCCACCTCCACACATTCCACCTGCCAGGTCCCTCCCTGCCCTCCAGCCCTCTCCACTGGGAGGGGAGCAGAGCCCCAGCCTCCCCCACTCACTCTCAGTCACCTCTGTCACTGCACTTGCACCCTTCCCACACAGCAACTGTGTGAGGGTGGAGGGAAGGGCAGCGCTCGTCTGCTGTCACTGTCGCCATCGGGCAGGGCCACTGTCCCTGTGGCACTCACCTGCTCAGCCAGTTCCCAATCTGGGACAGGGACACTGCCCCTAGCACTGTGCCCTGTTTGTGTTTGTGCAGGCTGTTTGGCAATTTGTTTTCCTAAATGTCCTCACTCTCCCTCATCTGCTCCACTGGGAGACTCGTGGGTGGGAGCTCATCTGCAGCAGAGCTGAAAACCCCAGGGGAGGAGGGATGTGCCCTCTTTCATGGGACTGAGCAGGGCAGCTGCTCTGCATGATGCCAACAATGAAATCCCTGCTTCAGGATACTCTGGACGTTGAGGGTTCACAGAGTCCAAAGTCACTACACACAGCAGGAGTGATGTTCCCAGGAGCTGGGAATGCGGTGCCAGCTCTGACTTGGGGAGCACGCAGGGTGCACCCTCAGAGCAGCTGGGAAAGCACCTGGAGCTGTACTATGGCCAGATGTCTGCACAGCCCTGCAAGCTCTCCCCTCGCTCCTCTGAGCACTCTCCTCTCCCGTTCCAGCCCTCTCCCTCGCACCTCCAAGTGTTCCCTTCCTGATCCGGGCACTGCCCCTCCTCCCTCCGGGTGCTCTCCTTCCCCCTCCAGGTGCTCCCCCTGCCCCTCGGGGCTCTTTCCCAGTACCTGCGTTGCTGAAGACCCAGGTGGAGACATTGGCACCTGTGCTCATGATGTATTCCACGTCCAGGCTGGCCTCCAGCCCGGCTTTGCCACGGCCCTGATGTCCCACCACCCGGTCCACCTGCGTGCGGTGGGCAAAGCCACTGCCAAAGAGCTCCATGAACTCAGCCAGGTCAGCTTGGTGGAAGTACTGCTCCAGAAACTGTGGGACACAGAGGGACAGGCTGTCTCCATTCGAAAAAACAAGGCAATATTTTGATCCTGACGGAGGACATTGCCCAGCACGGGTCTGTGCTACACCGGGCGCACCATCAGCCACCAAGGGACACCCAGCTGTCCCAAGACCCCCAGAGCAGCACCAATCCCTCGGACTGCCACAGCACACGGGCCTCCGAGCGGGCAGTGGTTACCTGTGCACAGGCCTGGCTGTTGTTGGGCAGGAGCCCCACGTCCCCCCCCGTCATGTTGTATCTCTGGCGCAGGACGGCCGGTGTCACGCCCAGGTGGAACGACGCTCGTGCCAGCTGTGGGTCCTTCCTGGCCCTGGCTCTGCTGCCTGCCTTGCGCTCCGTGGGGAACCGGTGCATCCCACCCACTGCGGCACAGCCCAGCGGGACGGGAGAGGCTGTCAGGGCGCAGAGCCCTGGCAAGGCAGGACAGAGCCCTTGGGCTCTCCATCACTGTCCCCACTTCTACATGGGCAGGCCAACAGTAGGGCTTGGATTGCCCAGCCATGCAGCCCTGGGCTGGGGAAGAGCCTCTTCAGCCTTCCAGGCTGAGCCACAGCCTCAGCCTGGCACCCCCTGCGCTTTTTGTGGGACGGTCACTGGATCCCACGGAACAGGGATCTGCAGGAGCGAGGTCTGCCCCCCCAGAAGCAGCTGCACCTGCATTCCGCAGCCTCACCTCCCCCAGGTGGGACGTACCGAAGTCCAGGTGCTCGGCGAGCTCTGCGGGGACAGTGTAGGGCAGCGGGGACCGCACCACGCTGCGCTGGCCCTGCACGTACCGGTGGAACTCGGCCCCGGGGAGCAGGCGCTCGGCCGTGCTGCAACACAGGGACAGCCGCTGTGGGATGGGACAGTGCTGGGACACAGGGACAGCCGCCACAGGACAGGACAGGGCTGGGAGAGAGGGACAGCCACTGCCAAGTGGGACAGCACTAGGACACAGGGACTGCCACCACAGGGCTGGGAGAGAGGGACAGCCACTGTTGAGTGGAAATGCACTGCAACACAGGGACAGCCACCACTGGATGGGACAGTAGTGAGACACAGGGACAGCCACCACAAGGCCAGCAGAGCCAGTTCCAGCCCTCAGAGCTCACCTTGCAGGCAGGTAACACTCCAGAAAGTCAAGGGTGGTGACACTCCGGCAGTCCTCTACACCATGGCCTTGCAGCCACTTCAGAACTGTCATCAGTGTGGCTGGGGAAGGCTGGACCAAGTCCCTGACCTGCTCCAGGGACAGGTACTGCCCTGGGAGGCACAGAGGGTTAGATCCCCTCACAGCCCCCGGGGGTCTAGGGCCTCGGGGCTGTGGCCGTTACCGTATCGCGGGGACCGAGGGTCCGAGACGGCCTGGACCAGGCGGGCGAGCTGGGCAGTGCCGCGCTGCCGCAGCGCGAAGGTCAGCTGCACCGGGTGCCCGGCACCCACACGGCCGGCGTGGGCCCAGCCGGGGGGCACGCTGCAGGGCGGGTGGTGAGCGGGGCCAGCACCGGCACCTCAGGCTGGCCCGGCCCGGCCCGGCCCGGCCCTGCCCCGGACCTACCGGAACGGCTGATCCCGCTCCAGCGCCAGCCCCGAGGCGCAGCTCCAGGCGGCCGCACACAGCGCCAGCACGGCGGGGATCCCGCAACACCTGCAAAGGGCTCAGGGGAGCACAGGCAATGGCACAGCCGTGGGGAACCGGGACCGACCGGGACCGAGCCCGAAGCCCGTCTGACTACGCCTTAGCCCGGGTCTGGGGAGCCCCTCCGGAGCTCCCCGAGTCCCAGCACCGGGGAGCCTGTCCGAGCCTGTTACCCTGCCACTGGGGAGCCCCGCCTGACCCGCGAGCCCGCACCACCGGGGAACCCCGCCTGACCCCCGGTCCCTGTCCCCACCGCCACCCGGGAGCCCCACGGACACCCGGAGCCTCCGTCACCCTGCGGTCCCCATCGCCGCCGGGGCCGCAAGGCGCCCCCGCCCCGCTACCGCCCCCACCGAGGGGTGTCCCGGTGTCCCCGTGCCCCCGGGCCGGGGTGCCCCGCTCGGTGCCCGTTACCCCCGCGCCATGCCGCCGTGCCGCCCGGTCACGTGTGCTGCGAGCGCGTGACTCCCGCCACGTGGGGACACCAAAACAGCGGCCACGTGATGAACGTCAGGTGGTGGGCGGAGCCGCGGCACCGGCACCGGCGGGGACTCGGGGTGGGCCCGGACCGGACCGGACCGGCACCGGCACGGCACCGGCACCGGCACCGTAACACTCCAGAAAGTCAAGGGTGGTGACACTCCGGCAGTCCTCTACACCATGGCCTTGCAGCCACTTCAGAACTGTCATCAGTGTGGCTGGGGAAGGCTGGACCAAGTCCCTGACCTGCTCCAGGGACAGGTACTGCCCTGGGAGGCACAGAGGGTTAGATCCCCTCACAGCCCCCGGGGGTCTAGGGCCTCGGGGCTGTGGCCGTTACCGTATCGCGGGGACCGAGGGTCCGAGACGGCCTGGACCAGGCGGGGGAGCTGGGCAGTGCCGCGCTGCCGCAGCGCGAAGGTCAGCTGCACCGGGTGCCCGGCACCCACACGGCCGGCGTGGGCCCAGCCGGGGGGCACGCTGCAGGGCGGGTGGTGAGCGGGGCCAGCACCGGCACCTCAGGCTGGCCCGGCCCGGCCCGGCCCGGCCCTGCCCCGGACCTACCGGAACGGCTGATCCCGCTCCAGCGCCAGCCCCGAGGCGCAGCTCCAGGCGGCCGCACACAGCGCCAGCACGGCGGGGATCCCGCAACACCTGCAAAGGGCTCAGGGGAGCACAGGCAATGGCACAGCCGTGGGGAACCGGGACCGACCGGGACCGAGCCCGAAGCCCGTCTGACTACGCCTTAGCCCGGGTCTGGGGAGCCCCTCCGGAGCTCCCCGAGTCCCAGCACCGGGGAGCCTGTCCGAGCCTGTTACCCTGCCACTGGGGAGCCCCGCCTGACCCGCGAGCCCGCACCACCGGGGAACCCCGCCTGACCCCCGGTCCCTGTCCCCACCGCCACCCGGGAGCCCCACGGACACCCGGAGCCTCCGTCACCCTGCGGTCCCCATCGCCGCCGGGGCCGCAAGGCGCCCCCGCCCCGCTACCGCCCCCACCGAGGGGTGTCCCGGTGTCCCCGTGCCCCCGGGCCGGGGTGCCCCGCTCGGTGCCCGTTACCCCCGCGCCATGCCGCCGTGCCGCCCGGTCACGTGTGCTGCGAGCGCGTGACTCCCGCCACGTGGGGACACCAAAACAGCGGCCACGTGATGAACGTCAGGTGGTGGGCGGAGCCGCGGCACCGGCACCGGCGGGGGCTCGGGGTGGGCCCGGACCGGACCGGACCGGCACCGGCACGGCACCGGCACCGGCACCGGCACCGGCACCGGCACCGGCACCGGCACCGGCACCGGCGTGGGCCCGGACCGGACCGGACCGGCACCGGCACCGGCACCGGCATCGGCATCGGCATCGGCACCGGCACCGGCACCGGCACCGGCACCCGCACCCGCACCTGCACCCGCACCGGCACCTGCACCCGCACCCGCTCCGGCGGGGACTCGGGGCGGCGGGGCGAGACCGTGCCGGCACCGGCACCGGCGAGAGGCGGCTCACGCACGGCCCTGGCCGCCCCCCGTTCTCTCCGCCCGTCTCCCGGCGCGGTGCGCACATTTCCCGGCGGAAGGGCTCGGACGGGGCGTTCCGAGGGTTCCGTGTCGGGCTCCCTGCGGGGCTGATGGTCCCGGGCGGCTGGGCGGGCGGAGAGCCCCTCTGAGGCTGGGGGTCCCGCTCGGGGTCCGTGCAGGGGTCAGGGGTCCGTGCAGGAGGGGCTGCTGGCAGTACCGCAGGAGATACACAAAAATTAACAACCATTAGCGAACATCAACTCCAGACACCACCCCTCGAATAGCAGACCAGGCACTAAGAACTTCGACACTTGGGACCAATGAACAGTGAACCAATGAATTTCTATGTGTTTTGACTGTATAAAATATGTGGAAAATCTAGTAAAATTCATGTGTCATGGAATGATTTTCTCTGCACAACGCAGGACATACGTGGATGAAACGATTTCTGTTGCACATCCTGGCCAGAGCAAAATCCTGGCCAGAATAAAGTAATGCCTTGATTCTCTAAGAGTAAAAACGTTGTCGGAGAGTTGTTTGGTTTTCCTGCAGTTTCGGTGACAAGCCCAGTGACAAGGCTCATCCCACGGCTCCAGCAGTTCCCAGCTGTTTTCCTGCTGCTGCAGAGCGGGGCGCAGGCCAGGAGCAGCCAGGCAGTAGGAAAACCCCCTGCCCGGCCGGGGCTGCATCCCCCGCGCTGGAGCAATGCCACAGGCGGCTGCTCCTGCTCCAGCCCCAGGGCTGCCTGGCACACACAGAGGGGGAACCGGCTGGGGCTGGGCCGCTCTCGGGGTGCATGCCCCGTGCCCCGTTTGGGGATGGACTCTAAGTGGGATGGGATTTGCAGGGGATGCTGTCTGGGTCTGTCGGGACAGCCGGGATTAGGGCGGCCGTGCAGAGCTAATCGCGTTAAGGAGCATCTGCTGCTGGGCCGGAGCGGGGAGGTCAGGGCCCCTCGGTGCGCCCTGGCTCCCCGGGACCCTCGGGTGGGGTGAAGCGAGTCCCTGCTGTGGGCAGTTGGGTGTTCCCGAGGCCAGGAGCACCAGAGGAGCACAGTGGCACTGGGGGCAGCCAGCACGGCCTCTGTGCCCCAGCAGGGAGCTGGAAGGGGTCGGGCTGGGGCACGAAGGAGCAGAGGGAGCCCCAGGACACCGTCAGGGAGGGGGTGGCCCTTCTCCCTCTGCCCCGGCTGGCTCATGCTTACCCCTGGAGTGCGAGGAGCCCTGTCAGAGCGGGGGGACAGGAGTGCTCCCCTGGTCCCAGAGCGCTGCCAACAGGGCTGGGCGTGCCTGGGGGGCTGTGCAGAACAGGCTGGGGCTGTGCAGGACCCACTGTGGGGTGCTGGAATCTGAGAGCTGAGGACAGCGAGTAAACAGCTTGGTTTGGGGAACAACAAAAAAAAAAAGCAAGCAGGGAAGGCAGGATGGAAGTGGCTGATCATATGTAAGTGGTTGATGGTCGCTGTGTGGGTCTGGCCACATCCAACACCTGACAGCTGCACAGCCACTCCTGGTTGTCCAACTCTGTTTCCCGGGGTTGGGGGGCACTGTTTGGTGAGGGGAGCCCGTGTGGTGTCAGGTCACAGTGTCTGGAGATCAGCAAAGAGCCCTGGGCATGTCTGTGTCGCCCAAAGGGATAAGCAGAGCCAAAGCTGCTGGGCAGACTGGTGGGATCACTGGGATCCCCAGGGCAGGTCTGTGTGGCTTGGGGAAGCTGCGTGTGCAGGTGTCCTCAGTGGGGATCCTGGGAATGTGAGGTACCTGCTGGGCAGATGATGTGTCCAGGTGTGGCTGCTGCAGCTCTGGGGGCCTGCTTGCCCTGCTTGCAGCCCTCACCACAGCGAGGGTACGGGATGGGATAGGGATGCCTGTGGCATGTGGGACCAGCTGTGTGCACATGTGGAGACATGCCTTCTGTGTATACCCAGCCTCACTGCTGGACAGCCCCGGGGCCATGGCCCTGCTGCAGCTTCACTGCCCTCTCTGGAAAAGGACTTGGCAGGATGCAGCCAAGGATGTGGGTGCCAGAACCTGGCCAGGCCCACGTGAGCCCTGCGTGGGGCAGGTCCGGTATCCCCCCCGCCGTCAGCCCCTGGGAACATGGTGCCAGCCTGGCAGGAGCCCACGGCAGCAGGGATGGGGCAGTGTCTGTACAAACGTGTGGTTTATTAAGGCATTTTTGAGACGTTGGCACTTGGGTTCAGGCTGCACCGAGTGGCCCCTGCGCGGCCGTGGGCAGCGCTGGTACATGCAGCTCCACGAGACACAATACAAAAGGTACAAACGAGTAAAAACAGGAATTGTAGTACAATGTGTAAAAATAAATAACTGGGGGCTCAGTGACCCCAGCCCAAAGCAGGGTGCATGTGTCTGGCCCTTCCTGTGGCGTGCAGGGTGACCCATCTGTGTCCCCATCCCAGATGTGCAGTGGAGCTGGGCTGTGTGGGCAGCCTGGGCAGCACAGGGCTGGGGGGCACGGGGCACCCCAGCATGGGACTGGGGGCACCGGGTAGCCCTAGAGTGCACCCACAGTCCTGGGGGACACAGGACACCCCCAGAGTGTCCCTACAGCACCTGGGAACAACAATGTGTCCCCACAGTGCTTGTGAGCAGGACAGAGAGGGGATGGGGGTGCCCACCCCAAGAGCCTCCGTGGGCTGTCCCTGTGCCAAGGCAGAACCATCTCCCCCTCCAAGGGCACCTCAGGCCCCTCTGAGTCCCAGGCAGAATGGGCATGGCCCTTGGTGGGGCCCCCTTAGTGCCCCTGTCACTGTGCCTGTTCCCTGTCACTGCCCTGTGCCCAGGACAGCACCTGGGAGCAGCGGCATGTGCCAGGACCCCATGGCACCAGGGGGATGAGAGGCTGACTGTGACACACGGAGCTGCAGCCACAGATGGCTCTTCATGGGAAATGGGGGGACGGGCAGAAGTGATGCATTTGTCTGCTGTGACAACACCTTTGCGGCTGGGGCTGCAGCCACGCTGCTCATGTGCTGGGTCTGTGTGATGGGAAGGAGCTTCCCCGGCTCTGCTCAGGCATGGGGTGTCCCGCCGACCCCCCGACACCTGTGACCAGACCGGGCGTTCAGGGCTGCTGTGGGGCACCCCATGCTGTTCCAGCCCTCGCCCTGCACCCATGGCTGTGCGGGGATCACAGAGCCCAAGGCTGCACTCCCAGGGCCCGTGACGCGCGAGCCTGTCCCGGTGAGCAGCTCCCCGTGAGCAGCCGGGCTCAGGGAGAGCTCGGTGGGGTGAGTGTGCTGCGAGTGTGATGCTGCCTGTGTGACCGGCCGTGCACAGTGCTGGCAGGAGATGGGGACCGGCCCCATGGCAGGGGCTCCGTCCGGGCTCACAACATGCAAAACAGGGGTGCAGAGCAGCTCTGCACAGGGGCTGGGGCCAGGAGCAGGGTGTTCTGCACCTTGACCATGTTCTGGAGGTGGCCCAGACTGTCCTGGGAAGCAGTCATGCAACAGGGCCCCAGGAAAGGCCAGATGCCCAGTGTCCCCACTGTGGCTAAGAGAACATGTTGGGTGACGTGGCTTTTTGGGGCACCCAACAACCTGCGCCCCTGCAGCTGCAGGCTGCCTGCTGGGCCTGAGGCGGGTGCGGGTCACAGCAGCCATCACCGCTCTGCTGAGGCTGGGCTGTCCCTGTCAGGTGCACACAGCTCTGCCAGCCCCACTGTGCTGCCTGTGCCTGGGCACTGTCCCTGCCTGGGACCCTTGCCCAGAGAGGCACCTGGTCCCAGGAACAGGATTCCCACACTGAGCATGGCAGGCGCCTCCCTCCCAAGAACACAGGAACCATCCTGAAGTTCTGGGCAGGAGATTCCCTGGATCTGTCACCTGCAGTGGGTAGCCAAAGGGTTGGAAAGACCTCAAAGGCTCTCCTGTCCCTTCCTAGCCACAGACAGGCAGCAAGATGTGGGCACGGCTGCCTTCTGCTGCAGCCAGCCCGGTGAGTGTCCCCTCCCGGCCGGGGGCAGGCTCATTCCCAGAGGCAGTGTCCGTGCCCCGGCGCATCGTGCCCTGCCCCGGGACATCACCCCCAGCCATGGGGCATCGCCCCCTGCCCTGAGAGCTCCTAGGGTCACAAGGGAAAGCTCGGGGTCCTCCTGCACCCAGGCTGCTGCATGGCACCCGGAGCTCGGTAGGGCAGGGTCTGGGCCTCCAGCCGCCCTCAGCTCCCCGTTGCTCCCAGAGCACCAAGTACCGTGAAGCACCATCCTGCCCAGCACCAATCTGAGCCACCGCAAGCAGCACATGGACCATCACCCCGGGGTGCCAGCACTGGGGTCAGCAGTCCACAGGGCACCAGCCAGCACAGGATCTGCCAAGCTGTGGGGAGGGACAGGGGCCACAGCCTCCAAGGGCATCGGCAGTCCCAGGACCCAGGCCAGGCACAGCGCTGGGAGTGGGATGAGCACCCATTTTAGCAGCCCTGGGCTGGGCCCCGCTCCGGCCCCATGGCTGCGGGCTGGGGCAGAGGAGTCCAGGGGCCCAGCTCTAAATCCTGAGCTCGGCCTCCTCAGGGGGCTCCAGCGAGTGCTCAGCACTGATGGTGGAGGCGGATGGCCCCTGTGAGATGCCGAAGGGCGAGACCACAGGGGA